ATATATAAATGTATTATATTATATTATATAATATATGTCGGTATACACATGTATATATATATATACATTTATACAGATACTTAAATTACCGTTCGTAGTGTATATTTCGCAGAATAATTTTTATCTCATTCTCTACTCCATACTGACGGAACCAATGTGAGCGTTCAATGACGTCTACCCAGCCTTCATCAGAAGGGCTTAAATGACTCCAATGATGTTTACTCATCCATTCTGAAACGTTCTTCAATATAAACATGAACAGAGTCGAACAACGTGAACATGTTTATATCACAAGGACGATAGAGATACACTGAACTATACAGCCCATGATGTAACTTCGCAGGTACATACACGGGTGTCGCTTTACGCTTACATATCCCTCTCTATATATTCTTGAAGCAGCGCATGATGCTCTTAGCACCAATCACAGATTCGCTACCAATTGTCTGCCCGTGAAGAACTCCTGAGAATACGGCCCTCACAGAATGATACGGCGCAGCAACGCTCTAACCCACAAGCCTCTGTCCCAGCCAAACCTCGGGTCGAACACATATCAAGCAGATTACTCTCGTATCTCTGACTGAAACCATATGCAATGTCTGGATAAATAGCCAGTGCATCTTTTCATCGCCAATTTGATGTGTTTCAGGTGAACATATATGGGTGTTCCGACTACATTAACTCGCCCGAGGGCTGCTCAGCTCATGGCATACTCAACCCAGCAAGCAGAACTAAGTGCTGTGATCCGTGCAGGAGATCCCACGGCCAGCCATCTACCACCATACCGATGGACCAGCATACGAACTATATACCCCTATCCTGCAAAGACCCGGCCAATTGGCTGAGATGTCAACTCACAGCGAACTTCCCAGCCAAACAAGGAACGTCCTATACACGTTGTGTGTTGATGATGTATACCCGGACTAGGATAGTAGCTGTCCCAGCTTTGCCGCTGCAGCTCGAGGCAGAATGCGCGACCACATCTTCAGCACAAAGGGACGGAAGAATGTGCCCATGCCTGCCAAAGTACCCACAGCTAGTAGCAGAACGGTATACATAGGCCACATGACTGTAAAGTACATCACACGGAATGCCCAGGGACCTGCAACAAGGCTGCTGGCTTCATCTAGGCCTAAAAAGGGCCCCAGGAACGTACTGGAAACGATATACCGGAGGGTGGGTCGTACGAAGTAAGCGGCACTAGACCCAGTAATCGCAAACACTATACACGCGACGAGGATATCCTTGGCGGCCAGTTCGGTGAATTTGATATTCGCCGGAGAATTCTTTCCATGCAAAGGATTATTAGCGACAAAGGATCGGCCTTCCGACATCTTCAACTCTGTCGAACTCATGCTGAAGTATAAGATTGTAGAATATGGTACAAAAATCAGTCAAAACCTCATGCTGAAGTATAAGATTGTAGAATATGGTACAAAAAGCAGTTAAAACCTCATGCTGAAGTATACGTTTGTAGAATATGGTACAAAAATCAATCAAAACCTTCTTTGCTCTTGCATGTCCCTATTCATGCAAAGGAATATAGAGATCTTTTAGTTCTATGTAATATACCACACAGTATTTATGTCGTGTTAAGTTTAAAAACGTACCCACAGGAACTATTATGCAATTATGTGTTTCCAAGCAGGACAGTTGTTCATCATTCTTTCGAGGAATAGTCAACCACATGCAAGCAATTGCGAACAATAATACTTTACGAAGCTGCGCAAACAGATATTAAAATAACTACAGCCGTCCATCCATCTATAAATCAATCTGTCTATCTATCTATTTGCTAACAATACATCAAACAATCTTTTGATATATA